TATTTAATTTTTTTGAAAACTCTTATTTTAATGTCGGTGTACTTTCTATTGAATACCATAATATAACCATCAACTATTGTTGATTATCTGAACTATTTTCACTTTGCTATTGTAAACAATGTGTTCTACTCATCCTTAAACACATTTGCATCATTTATTATTTCTTTATAATAAATTCTGACAAGTGGAATTACTGATTTAAAGAGTATAAATCTTTAGAAGACTCTTAATACACAGAGGACAAATGTCTTTCCAGAATATTTTTATCAGTTCACACTCCCACTAGCTGTGAACAACAGTGTCATACCACACTCTTGCAAGCACTGATAAGTAATTTGCATATTTTGATTACCAGTGGTTAAAAATTTTTAAATGTGTTATTAACTTTTTTCCCTGCAAATCTTCTCATAACTTTGTTTCCGAGATCTTAACGTGTTAGGAACGTTATCTTTTTGCCACACTTGTTGTAGATATTGTTCAATGTTCTGAATTGTCAATGGACATTTGAAAATAGTACATATTCTTTTTATCTAGGATGAAAATTTTGCATTATTATGTAAACTGTTTAGATGGATAATGGTTGATTTAAAATGCTTCAAGAGGCTGGGTGCTGTGGCTCAAACCTATAATCCTAGCACACTGGGAGCCCAGTGAAGGAGGATCCTTTTAGGTCAGGAGTTCAAGACCAGCCTGAGCAAGAGTGAGATCCTGTCTCCACAAAAAATAGAAAAAATTAGCATGTGGTGGCACGTGCCTGTAGTCCCAGCTACTCAGGGAGCTGAGGCAGGAGGATCACTTGAGCCCAGGAGTTTGAGGTTGCAATGAGCACACCACTGCACTCTCCCTGGCAAGACAGAGCAAGACTTTGTAAAAAAAAAAAAATTCCTCAAGAGATTTTGCTTTTATGAATCTCTTCCTACAGATCTACTGGGTTTTGCTCTGTGCCTTTTCATGCTATAGGAGTATTAAGCATAGATCTTGTCCTAGAAGGAAACAGATGGCTCACCCTAAGTGAGTAATTTGAGGAGAGAGACTATTTGCAAAAGTGTAGTTCTGGTGCAGGGAAACCACAAGTGGTAGCGTAGTATCGTGGGGATAGAAAAAGTAGGGGACCATCACTTTCTTTAGGCTAGAAGGGAAGAGGAGTGAGGCAGATATGGGAACCTAGAAACAGAGAGGCCACATGGAAGAGCTTCTCTATGGGGACTGTAACCTCAGGGAAGGGACAGCTAACCTGTGTCATCCCTGCATGAAGGCTGCTGAGGAGCTAAGCACCCCAGCCCCACCTTCCAACCTCCCCTCAACCTCATGCTGCTGCTCCCCACTGGCCAAACCCAAGCGGAAGCAGAGCTGTCAATGTGGCCCCCATGGGTCAGCCCTCTGGGCCCAGAGCAGTGAGGAAATGTCGGAAGGCTGGATCTGAAGGGAACATGGAAGGTGTTGAGCACAAAGACTCCACACTGTTGGGCAGTCCCTATGCAGTTCAACTGTCACCAGTAGAAGCCAACCATTTGTGATCCTCTTGTCTTTAACTCTGCTTTTTCTGACTTCTTATTTATGTTTTTCCAATATAATTTAGCCTATGCATCTTTTAATAGTACAGATGAATTTGATTTTATTACCCACATAGCTTGCAGTTATGTTTGAAAATTTCAACTGTGAGCTAAGAGTAAGGGAAAAATGCATAGACACTGGGCAGAGGGCGCATATTGTCCTCTAATATCCAGTTCCCTTTCCTCTATAGTAATACAACCCACAATGATCATCTGGGCACATGGCTGCTCAGAATAAAGACCACATTTCCCAGACTTTCTTACTAGATTGGCCATGGGACTAAGATCTGGCCAATAGGAAGTGAAGGAAAGTGACATAGGTAATATTGGTCATTTCCCTGAAGGATGGAGCTCGAGCCTTCATTCCCTTCCCTCCACCTTGCTTTGTGGAGCATGGATGTAGTGGAGAATCATCCTGGACCATGGGGATGGTAGAGCAGGGGGGTCCCTGGGCAACCTGGACTGTCTATCTCCAGAAACTAAATAACAAAGAGATAAACCTCTCCTTTAAGTCACTATTATTTTGGGTGTTATGCCAAACCAAGCCTAACTGCCAACTAGTACAGATATCGAGGGGCAGAATTTCAGCCATCTATTTAAATGGGAAAAGAGAATAGAGATTAACATTTTTTGAGCACCCACTACATGCTTTCACCTATATTATTGTATTTAATCCTTTCAATAAGCCCGCAAAATGAGTACTATTATCCCCATTGTTACTCTTGAAACTGAGGCTCAGTTAGCTTAGGAAACTTACTCATAGTCACCAGCTATAACCTGACTGGATTGAGGTTTGAACCAGGGCGTATCTGCCTAACTCCAAAGTCCAGTTTCCCTTCACGTCCCCCTGATCCCCTGAAGACGAGTGAACAGAAAAGAGACTCCCAACTGGGCCAAGAGAAAGCTTATGTTCACGCCTTAGTCACCTCAGTCTCTAGAACCAGTGTGCTTTTTTGGAAACAAATAGATAAATCATAACACCTTCTCATCTTAGCAACTGTTGTTTACAACTCGAATTAATTCTTCAGCTCTGAGGAATAGCCAGGGGCCCTAGGTTCAGGGGATTTATGAGTAATAGGAAATGCAAGAACTCTAGCCTCCTACTGTCAAAGAGAGAGGCTTAGAAAGACTAAGACAAATCATGCACAAAGTTAAACATTTATGACTCATATATCATTGCCAGCACCATACTAAAACCTCTGTTGATCCAAAACACCTAACATTCCCCGCTGTGGTTCCCATTTCTCTTATTTGCATATTGGTGGTCAGGCAACAGGAGAAAAGAATTATAGAAGCTTTGAGTGGTTTTTATATTTCTCAAGGATTGTAAAAAACAAATTGGGTTAAGAAATGTGTCCAGTGCCTGGATATCATTGGGTTGCCATTATTATTTAATGAGAGCTCCACAGTTGTACTTTCCTGGGCTCTCTTTCAGATGTCTGCTTTGGACCAGCACTTTGTGGGGTGCACTCTGAAGTTAGCCCATCTCTAAAAATCATCAAGTTGTCACTGCTATTTTTTAGCACAAGCTCACATTATTCATGCCAAGGTGCAAATTCATGTGCTACTGAAGCTTCCAGTCTTTGGAGGAACAGAACCTGGCTGGGTACTATGTGAAAATGGAAGAGAATGACCCTTCATCTATTTGCCATTTGTCAAGCCCCCAAACAACTCTGAATGGTGGCATTGTGTTCAGGTTTCTCTTTAAATTAGCTAATTGACTTTCTCTTACAAGGTATAGGTGTGAGGTGGGTCCAGATTCATTTTTTGCATATGAATGTCAAATTGTTATAACACCATTAGTCAAAAAGACTATCTTTTTTTTATTGAAGTACTTTTCCACCTTTGTCAAAAATCAATTGACCAACCTTACACTACATACAAAAATCAACTCAAAATGAACCAAAGACCTATATAAAAAATAAAACTATAGAAATCATAGAAAACAACCTAGGTGTAAATCTTTATGACCTTAGTTTCTTAGATATGATAATAAAAACATGAGCAATAGAAGGAAAAATAGATAAATAGGACTTTAACAAAATTAAAAACTTTTGTACATCAAAGGACACCATCAGGAAAATGAAAATACGACATACAGAATGGGTGAAGATATCTGCAAATTATATCTTTAATAAGCATCTAGTATTCAGAAAAAATTAAAAATTCTCACAACCCGAAAACAAAAAGACAAACAGCCTAATTAAAAATTGGCAGATGACCTGAATAAGAAATTTCTCTTAGGAAGATATATAAATGACCAATAAACTCATAAAAGGATGCTCAGCATCATTAGTTATTAGGGCAAGACAAATCAAAACCACAATGAGATATTATTTCACACTCACCAGAATGGCTATAATTTAAAAAGTCCTAAAATAACAAGTATTAGTGAAGATGTGAAGAGATGGTAATTCTTATTCACTACAAGTGGGAATGTAAAATGTATAAAAAATGTACACAAAATATCAAGGCAGCACTGCTCACAATAGTCAAAAGGTAGAAACAACCCATATTGCCATCAACTGATAAATGGATAAACAAAATATGGTATATACATACAAGGGCATGTTATTCAGGCATAAAAGAAAATGAAGTACTAATACATGCTACAACATGAATAAATATTGAAAACATTATGCTAAGTGACAGAAGTCAGACACAAAAGCCAAATATTGTATGATTCCATTTGTATGAAATATCCAGAATAGGTAACTCCATAGAGACAGAAGTCAGATTAGTGGCTGCCAGAGGATCAGGAGAGAGGGAAATGCGAAGTGACTGCTTGATGGGTATAATGTTTCTTTTGGGTATAATAAAAAATGTTCTGGAACTAGATAGTGGTGATGGTTGCAAACTTTGTGAAAATACTAAATGCTAATGAACTGCACACTTTAAAATTTTTAACTTTGTTATTAATTTTTTTTCTTTCATTGCTTATGCTTTTAGTATCACATCTAAGACTCTTTCATCAAATCTAAGGTCATAAAAATTTGCCTCTATGTTCTATTCTAAAATACTATAGTTTTAGCTCTTAGTCTTTGATCCATTTTAAGTTAATATTTATATATAGTATGAAATTTATTAAAAATTTTTAGAACTAGCTTGTGTATATCTACAAAAATATCTTGGTACAATCTTGACTGGAATTGCATTAAATACATAAATCAACTTGGAGGGAATTGGCATCTTTGTTGAGTCTCTAAATCCATGAACATAGTATGTCTCTCCATTTTTACTAGTTCTTTTTTTTCTTTCATCAGTGTTTTGTAGTTTTCACAGTTGGAGCCTATTTTGTAGGCTTCATACAGCACTGTATTTTAGAGCTATTGGAAGTGCTATTTTTTAAAATTCCCAGTTCTAACAATTTATATTCATTGCTAGTATATATGGAATATAAATAATTTTTTTGTGTTGACCTTATATCCTCCATTCTTGCTAACTCACCTGTTAGTTCTGATAGTTTTTCTTCAGATTCCTTGGGAGTTTCTACATCATCTGTGAATAGAGAGACTTTTATTTCTTTCTTTTCAGTCATATAACTTATCTCTTTTTGTTGCCATATTGCACTGGCTAGGACTTCTACTGCAATATAGAGTGGGAATGGTGAGAGTGAATCTTCTTGCCTTGTCCCTAGAAAAACAAGGGGGAAAGCATTCAGTCTTTCAGCATTAAGTATGATGTTAGCTGTATGGTTTGTGTAAATTCCCTTTATCATATGTCCACTTCTATTTCTACTTTGTTGAGAGGTTTTATTATGAAATGATGTTGAGTTTTATCAAATGCTTTTTCTGCATCAATTGATATGATCATAATGTTTTTTCTTATTTAGACTGTTAATATGGTAAATTACATTGACTGCTTTTCAAATAGTATTGAACCAATCAGCATTCCCTGGGGTAAACCTCATTTGATCATGCTGTTTTTCCTATACATTGCTGGACTCAGTTTGCTAGCATTTTGTTAAAGATTTTTGTATCTATGTTCATGAGGAATATTGATCTATAGTTTCCTTTTTTCATGCTCTTGTATTTAATTTGTCTGGTTTTAGTATCATGGTACTGCTAACCACATAAAATAAGTTGGAAAGTATTCCTTGCTCTTCTAATTTCTAGAATTGATTGTTTAAAATTGCTATTATTTCTCCTTTAAATGTTTAGTAGAATTAACTAGTGAAATTATTTGGGCTTGAAGATTTCCTTTTGAAAAGAGTTTTAACTAAAATTTATTTAATAGTTATGGAACTTTTCAGATCATCTACTTAATCTTGGTTGAATTTTGGTGATTTTTATTTTTCAAAGATTTTGCTCATTTCATTAAAGTTGTTGAATATGTGTATTTAGAGTTGTTTATTTCCTTATCATCCTTTTAATGATGGCAAATTCTATAGTGTTATACCCTTTTCAGCACTGATCTAGGTAATTTGTATGTGCTTTCTTTTTTTTTCTGTCAGTCTTGCTGATAACAATAATTTTATAAATATTATTGATCTTTCAAAAATCAGATTCTAGCTTGATTAATTTGTTTTTCTTTTTCAAATTGGTCTGCTCTGATCTTTATTATATCTTTATTTCTGCTTATACTAAGCTTATTTTGCTCTTATTTCTTGAGTTTCTTTTCTTTTTTTTTTTTTTTGAGACAGAGTCTCGCTTTGTTGCCTAGGCTAGAGTGAGTGCCATGGCGTCAGCCTAGCTCACAGCAACCTCAAACTCCTGGGCTCAAGCGATCCTACTGCCTCAGCCTCCCAAGTAGCTGGGACTACAGGCATTCGCCACCATGCCCAGCTAATTTTTTTTATATATATTAGTTGGCCAATTAGTTTCTTTCTATTTATAGTAGAGACGGGGTCTCGCTCTTGCTCAGGCTGGTTTCGAACTCCCGACCTCGAGCAATCCACCCGCCTCAGCCTCCCAGAGAGCTAGGATTACAGGCGTGTTTCTTGAGTTTCTTAAATGTGTGGGATTAGATTATTGATTTGAGAACTTTCTTCTTTTATAATATAAGCATATAAGACAATGAATTTCCTTCTAAAGACTGCTTTAGCTACCTTTCACAAATTTTTAGGTTGTATTTCAATTTTTGTTCATTTCAAAATATTTTCTAATATTCCTTGAGATTTTTTTATTTAACCTATGTATTATATAGAAGTATGTTGTTTAATTTCCATGTATTTAGAAATTTTCCTTTTATATTTCTGGTTGATTTCTAGTTAATTTTATATTGCCAGACAACATACTTTGCCATTTCAACTCCTTAAATTTGTTAAGGTTTATTATACGATCTAGGATAGGTAAATGTTAGCAAGTATTCCATGAGCATTTGAAAAGAATATGAACTCTGCTATTGTTGGGTAGAGTGTTTTATAAATGCTAATTAAATACAGTCAGTTGACAGTGTTGTTCAGTCCTTTTATGTTCTTACTGGTTTTCTATGTACTAGTTTTCTCAATTTCTCAGAGAACATCAAAACTCCTAACTATAATTTCTTTTTTTTTTTGAGACAGAGTCTCACTCTGTTGCCCAGGCTAGAGTGCCGTGGCATCAGCCTAGCTCACAGCAACTTCAGAAGCAATCCTTCTGCCTCAGCCTCTCGAGTAGCTGTGACTACAGGCATGTGTCACTATGCCCGGCTAATTTTTTCTATATATTTTTAGTTGTCTGGCTAATTTCTTTCTATTTTTAGTTGAGACGGGGTCTCGCTCTTGCTCAGGCTGGTCTCGACCTCCTGATCTCAAGTGATCCTCCTGCCTTGGCTTCCCAGAGTGCTAGGATTAAAAGCGTGAGCCACCGCACCCAGCCAATAACTATAATTTTTGATTTATCCATTTCTCTTTTCAGTTACATTAGTTTTTGCTTTATGTATTTTGAAGCTCTCTTAAGTGTATATGCATTTAGAATTGTTATGTCTCCTTGATGAATCAAATATTTTATCATCATACAGGGCCACTCTTAATCCCCGGTAACTTTCTTTGCTCTGAAGACTACTACACCTGGTATTATTAAAGCCACTTTACCTACCTTTGATTGATGTTTTAGTAGTATGTCTTTTCCATCTTTCTACTTTTAAGCTACTTATATTATTATACTTGAAGTGAATATTTTCTATACCCTGTATACTTTTAAATTCATTTTTACAATCTCTTGTTTTAATTGATGCATTTAGTCTAATTATAGTTAATTTAATTATTTATCTATTGGGATTTAACATTTATTACTTGTTTTCTGTTTGTTCTCTCATTTTTTGTCCTTCTGCTTCCTTTTCCTGCCTTCTTTTGAGTTATTTGAACTTTAAAAAATATTCTACTTTAATACACCTATTGTGGTTTGAATATATCTTTTTGTGCTGTTTATTTAGTGGTTGTTATAGGGTTCCAATAAACATGCTTAACTTTTTACAATGTCCTCAAAATCAATATTTTACTATTTCAAGTGGAATGTAAAACATTATCACTATATAGGACCCTTTACCCTTACCCTTTATGTTTTAGTTATTTTATTACCTCTACATACACTAAAAACCCTATTAGGTAGAAAAGCACAATAACTAAAATTGAAAACTTAATAGATATGTTTACAAGTAGCTTGAGCCAAGCTGAAAAGAGGATTAGTACACTGAAAGATATGTACGTAGAAAGGTCTGGATTGAATCATGGAGAGAAAAAAAAGAATAGAAAATACTGAAAAGAGCATAAGGAACATATGAAAAGATATGACATGCATGTAATTAGAGACCCAGAAGGAGAGGAGAAAGAGATGGAGCAGAAGCAATATTTGAAGAAAACAGATGAAAGAGTAAAGACTCACTATGAACTCCAAGAATGATAACTGCAAAGAAAAAACACACCTATGCACTTCGTAGTAAAACTGCTAAGAATGAAAATCAAAGAAAAAAATCTTAAAAGCTCCAGACTAGAAAGACTCATTACCTTCAGGGAAGTAAATATATGCATTAATCTAAGTGAATATTGACTCTACATAACAGTATAATAAAGTTTTGTGGAGTATAAAACAGATGTGAAATTAGAACACATGGGAACAATAAGACAAAGCCAGAAGGGGAGGTCTATAGGGCCCTTACATTGCCTGAAATAGATGAATAATATATAGGTGATCTCTAGTGGTAATATATGTGGTAATCTTCTATAAACTTGATGATTTTCTATCTACTAAAATAATAATAAAAGAATGTATACAAAATAAACTAATAAAGAGAAATGAAAATTTAAAAAATACTTGTTTAACGTAAAAGCAGGCAATACAGTTAAGCAAACAAAAGCAGAACAAACACTATGAATAAAAAGTGAATAGTGATATGGTACACCTCAATATATCAGTAATTAGATTAGATGTAAATGAACTAAGAACTTTAATCAAAAGTTAGAGATTGTAAGACTAACTTAAAACAACAACAGCAGCTGCAAGAATATGTCTCATAAGAAACAGACCTTAAGATAAGAACAAAAGAATATTGAAAGTAAAGGGATGAAAAATGATATACTATGCAAGCTAACCAAAAGAAAGTTGGTGTAACTATATTAATAACAAAAAAGTAGGCTTTAGGGCAAAAACCACTATTAGATAGATATTTCATAACCACTAGAGTGTCAGTATAGCAGCAAGATATGCCAATTCCAAATCTGTAAACATCTAATAATTAGCCTTGAAAAATATAAAGCAGAAATTGACAAAACCTCCATGGGAAATAACTGTGAGTTCTAAATTTTAACATACCTCTCTCAGTAACTAATGGAACAAAAAGACAAAAATTAGTAAGAATTCTGAAAATTTGAAAAATGTGATTAACAATATAACTAATTGATGATGGAGTTCATTGTACTCAACAATTGCAGAATTCACATTTTTTAAAGATCATATAGAATATTTTCCCAAAAAGCTGGGCCATAAAGTAGGCTTCGACAACTTTCAAAAAATGGAATAAAATAGATTACATTCTCAGCCACAGTGGAATTTAGTTAAAACTCAGTAACAAAAAAAGAAAAGTCGAAAAAGTCCCTAAATGTTAAGAAATTAAGACATATGTATCTAAATAACTCATGGACTAAAAAAGAAGTAACAGTGAAAATTAGAAAAAAATTAACTAGGCAATGAAGATACAATACAACAGAATCTATGAAATGCAGCTAAAATTGTACTCCAAGGGAAATTGATAGTTTTAATGCATATATTAAAAAAGAAGAAAGGCTGAAAATTAAGTACTCATCTCAAGAATTTAAAAAAAGAAAAGAAAATTAAATCCAAAAAAGGTAAAGGAAAGAAATATAAAGATGAGAGCAGAAATCAATGAAAAAGAAAGTAAACATATAACAGAGAAATTAAACAAGAGTTCATTCTCTGAAAGTCCAATAAAAATTGATAAATCCCTGGCAAAACTTATTTAGAAAAAAGTGAGGAACATAAATTATTAACTAAGTAATTAAAAGGGAACTTTATTATAGCTCAATTGTGTTCCCTTTAAGGAGAGTCTTGGAACAGTTTCTCTAGGCTTTGGAAAGATAAAGAAATCATATTATTAACAACTTTATGCCAAAAAAAATTAGTTTCACTTAAATGAACAATTTGCAAGATAATATAACTTCCCGAAGTGGACGTAAGAAGAAACAGAACATCTGAATA